CGAAGTTACCCTAATTTTCGTGGTCTACATTTGTAGATCATTGCTGATTGTAAACTTTTGTCCACCGAGTGTATATATTTTAATGTAAATTATTAATAAAAAAATCGAGTAATGAAGTGTCGAAGTTACCCTAATTTTCGTGATCTATATTTGTAGATCATTGCTGATTGTAAACTTTTGTCCACCAAGTGTAGATAACATTATGAGTTTATGAAGATCGGCTTCCACGTGTGAAAGACCGAATTGATGTTTCAATATGAATTATTTGTATAGAAATAGAATATACCGATACCGATACACTCAGTGGAAAAAAGTTTGGATCGGGAAATGATCAGCAATATAGATCACAAAATTTGGTGTGTTAATACATGTATTATTCGACTTCTCTATATAAACTACAATTATTTTATTCGGCAAAAATAGGGCTATTCATACATATACGGGTTGGATATCCATTTGTATCAATCACAGCTTGCACTCTTTTTGATATCAATTCTCCTTGATTTTTGAAATAAATTGATCGTTTTTTCCAAAACATCTCATAAATGCTCATTGAATTTAGATTAGGACTCTGAACAGATCATGAAAGTGAAGTTATTATATTTCTCTTTTTTCATTCATTAACCAGATTATTTCTGGAAATTAGAGCATTATCATTTTGAAAATGATGAACAAAACTAGCTGGTAATTTATCTAAACATAATTTAAGATGCTGTTCAAGTATTTCTACATATTTTTGTCCAGTTATTGTATCTTCAACTTCGATTAGTGATCCAAGTACATCGAATAAACATTTCCATATCATTACTTTCTGATTATCTGATTTTATACTAGAAAAAAAATTAACATCACAGTTTTCATGAAATCAATATTACTATAAATTATTTCTCAATATTAAATAACTTAATTTATCATTTCAAATAACTGATTCCTATTTATAAACCCAATCTTTCTCTTTAAATACTATTTTAATTATTTTTTATGGTTTTTCTTGAATATAAAAAGTTTTCTTAGTCCAACCTGACCAAAAAATCCATTTTTATAAAGATTAGAACATATAAACTTCCAAAGCAGTATTATACTTTTCAGTAACTTTATTAATTTCTTGTTGTTAATTATTTTTTGGATAATTCTAGAATTTAATATTTGTGATCTATTATATTAGAAAGCAACTATAATTCAACCAAACTTTTATATTTGTATGTAATATTATGAACTATGAATTTGAATTATTCTAGAATTTCTTCAATTTCTTTTTCAGAAAAATCACACTTTTAAGTACTGATTATCTTATCACACTCAAAATCTGTAATTTGATAATTTCTATAAGTGTTGAATAAGTTTGATATAATTTTTTTATATCATTTAAAAGCTTATAATTCTAGTTTTTTAATAAGCTATATATATTATAATTGACATTTGTATATTATATAATTAATAATTATAGTCACTTCATTATTTACATCGATCACTTCTAATTCCAAACTTTTATTTACCAAGTAAACAAATATATAATATTTTTAAACTTGGTTTTATTTAATATTAATTAATAGTAAAATTAAAAAAAAAGTTTTTTAGAATGTGTTATTTCTTGAAATTTTGACTATATTACATATAATATAGTATAAAAAGTATTTTAATTATAAAATTACCAAACTGAAAACCAGTCAAATCAAACTTTGTGATAACATAAATAAAATGAAGAAATTAGATGTTCAACAATGAAAGAAATGTCAAATACTCACACTCAAAAAACTTAGTACAAAGCCAAACTGGAAACTGATCATGTAAGTTGTTAGAAGTAAGTTTTGTCACAATTTTCATTTTGCTTGTGTTGCAAATTTCTCCAAATTGCAATCAGTTTCCAATTTGATTTCATAATAATGATATTGCTAGTGAATATTTGTCATTTTTTTCATTAGTAAGGGTATCAGCCTGGGCCAAATCACAAAACAAAAGACATTTATTTGTTTTAATATGATGATATTATGTATATTAATCCGGATAATTATAAGATTATCCGAGTTGACTTGAGTCTTAATTCACTACACGACTTTAGTATCCTCCAAATTTGGAAGGCTTGCGCTATGAGGATTGTCCACCAATGCGACATCTGCATCTGTTTCCTGTATTTTTCACATTTTTCATTTTTTGTGTCGAATTTGTTTTGCCGAGCTGATCAAAAATTTACGCATCCTTATTGGTTTATTATGTGCATGTGATCAGGAACCGAGCACAGATTACAATTACGTCGCGTAGGACGGTCTAAAGCTTTCGATATACTGACGTGCAGATTCTATTGAATTTATATTGTTTACAATAGGATCTGCACGTCGGTCGATATATCAACCGGGTATTAATCGGTTAATTTTTATTTTTTTTAGCGATAGTGTTCAGTTAATTCTGATCGAATTGAAGATAATTTTTAAAGGCAAGTTTCTATTTAAGGAAAAAGTCAAGCACTTAACGAACCATCACTTTGCTTTTACGGAGGTTTCGGGTCGTTGTCTTGTTACATATAAATTCAGTATCCTCGAGCATTTTGTCCCTAAAAAATTATTATTCAATATCGATATATGTAGGGATGTTAAAAGTCCGGTTCTGGAACCGCAAAGTCTGGGAGCTGGACGAATTGAACTGCAGTACCAAATCATTCCCAGACCTGGTTCAAGGACCGAGTTCAGAACTGCGGTCCCTGACTGGGTCCTCAAAATGCGGTCCTGTATTAAGAGATGCGCGTGGGTTTGCTGTGGGTAGGGGTATGAATCGATTCTGAGAATCGATTGATTTGGTAGGATCGAGGAAATCGATTCCTAGAATCGATTAAATTTGAGAATCGATTTTAAAGACAAAATCGATAACGATAATGCATAAATCGTGTATATACGTGAATACATGCAAATGATATAGCGCACGACAAACTACGTACTCTGTCATTCAACAAAAATGTTAATATTGATAATAACCAAGAAACCATTGTCAATATAAAATTTAATAACTTTGATAGTGATGCTAATGCCAAAAGTAACTGTTATTTATCGGAATCTCAATCTGATGACAATACTTCAATTGCTTCTATACCACGTAGTATCTCTATGAATTCAGCATAATTTCAACTAATCAAAGTACAACTATTCCAACGCAAAGGGAAAAAATTAACTTTAGTGTTTATTTTACATTTTTTGACATGAACCGGGTCCTAATTAATCCCAGAGATGAAAGACTGCTAAAGGACCGGGTCCTTGGTTTCTTGGGACGAACCGGTTAAAGTCCGATCCCGGACTCGGTCCGGACCTGGTTCATGCGGACTACTTAACATCCCTAGATATATGGTGCATAACCTCTAAAGTCATCAAACGTTTGTATTTTATAAAATGTATAAACTTCTTGACTAAGATGTAAATTCAAAATTCAATCCGTAAATATGGTAGAATAAGCCATATTTACGGATTAAATTTTGAATTTACTTCTTAGTCAAGAAGTTTATACATTTTATAAAATACAAACGTTTGATGACTTTAGATGTTATGCACCATATCTATATAAATATTTGCATTCATTTTTTCGTCAATTTTTCGAGTTCACCAACTCCATCGGCTGTTAAGCAATGATTGAGCTGCCACCATATTTCATTGTTGACGATATGTCAGTCATTTAAAGATTTCCCGGGCTTCTTCCAGCAAATTTTCGCCCATCCGACCCGTATTTACTTTCGTCTGACCAGAATATTCGTCGCCATTTGTCAGTTGTCCAATTTCGATATTTTTTAGTCCACCACCAATCGTCGTTTTCGGTGCGTTTTTTCGAGTAGAGGCTTTCTTTAATTCTCGCAAATAAGCTGTCTTTCCAAAACATACGTCATATGCTTTCCACCTCCCAGGTTTGCGTTGGACTTGAATGACGGTGATGCATTTTCAGCATATAATAATCGTATAGCATACCGTTCGTAACACTCCGAAAGAATTTGTGGATGACTAGATTTGGGCTTATCATCGATACTTCTAGTTTCTTCTTTAATTATGAACAGAACCTAAACTGACTTTCTCCAATGCGATTCCTCGGACTGTGCAATAAAAAAACTTATTAGTATCGTTGTTTGGAATGAGAAAATATGTTTATTTATAGTTAATGAGAATCTTAAAGCATTTATACTTAGCCTTAAGGCCTCCCGTTCGTGATTGATTCGGTTATAATTAAAAAAGTTAAAAATTTACGTTAGTTTAAATTTAAATAATAGCTGAAAATAAAAATAGCATTAAATTATGATTATTATTATTTTAATAAATAAATTCCATTTATCTTTGGTCTTGTATAATTTTTCGATGGCGAGATATTCGAATCTCACCATTTTTTTCGTGTTTGTGAGCCACTATATATCACAAGCTGATTATACAAATCATTAATGACAATTAGGAAATATATCAATGTAATTGTCATTTCTTTTCAGCATCCGAGAAACTAATTTTGATTTTAAACTGGAGTAATATGATTACCAGCATCTGAAAAGAGACGCTCGATAGGAACGAGCAAGGATACCTAGATATTTTCTTGCTAGTTTTGAAAGGGTCGGAAATTGAGCTTGCTGTTGCTGCCACCACAAAAGAGGATCTGAATTACGAAGAGCCACTGCTGTTCGTCTATAATCAAGGTAATAATCTAGTTCATCCATAGAATCTTGTGATTTTTGAGTACCGAATATAACATCTGCAAACATGTTATTAGAAGAGAACCTCATAAAGCTAGATAACATGACATGTTTTTTGCTCCTGTTGTATGTCCATTAATTGATGATGACATTCATAAATGGTATCATTGCGAATACTCAAAGGATTATTAAGTGACCATGTATGATGTTGAGATCGAGTAAAAATAGGAATTTCACGTTCTTCTGCATAATCAGATGGATCAAATAAATCTTCAGATGCTGAATCAAAGTTGGGTATTTCTTAAGAATGTCGATATATTTAATATTAAATAAGTTAATAAATAAAAAGATTTACTATACCTTCATTTTCATAGTTATTTCCACCAATATTTGCACTTAGTGCATAATGAAATTTCATTGCTTCGATTAGAGGCTAAATCAATCCTGTAGAATATCACTCACCACCAAAATATTCAGTAGTACTATTAAAAGATTCTAATAGCTCAAGTAATTTTTGAACAAAATCCCTTTCACCTCTTGAAACATAAATTGTTGTAGTTTTCATCCATCTTTTGACCTTCTTGAAAAGGTAGTGTTGCTGCAAGCCATTTAATTGCAGGTCGTAACTCGATTAATCTCTATCTATATTTAGAGTTCCAATGGGTTTGAACATCTATGATATTTCATAAAATTCATTAGCTGGTATTAAAAAAGAACTAGGTGTCATCTCATTTTCTGCATCTTCTGAATCACCATCATAATATGGTATTTCATTTTTTCGCTTATATACGTCAATTTGTGCTGTGTTCAATCTTTGACTTTGTTTGGATGAATCGAAGAACTTGGCCAAGTCACGAATTTAATTAATTTTTGTTCAAAGCACAATTTATGGATAATTGCAATATACAGTGGGCGCTTGTTACAATAACACTCTTTAAGATAACATCTCATTATACAGTAGCGGTCATAAGTATCCGAACGCCCCTAACTTTTTATAGATCATGCGTATCATCCTAAAAATTTCTGAAAACAAAGAATAAC